CCCTATTGATGTTGCTTGGAATGCCATGATTTCTGGTTATGTTCGACGTGGATTATTTGAAGAGGCGTTTGACATGTTCAGGAGAATGCATTCGATGGGAATGCAGGAGGATGAGTATACTTACACTAGTTTGATTAGTGCGTGTGCTTCTGGTAATGTGAGGAGGGGGATGTTCAATTATGGAAGACAGGTGCATGGTTATATTCTCAGGACAGTGGTGGGGCCATCACAGCATTTTGTTTTGTCTGTTAGCAATGCTTTGATTACTTTCTACACTAAGTATGGTAGGATGGTGGAGGCGAGGCGAGTCTTTGATAGAATGCCTGTGAAAGATATTGTTTCCTGGAATGCTGTTTTGTCGGGGTTTGTCAATGCACGACATATTGAGGAAGCTAACTCTATTTTCAGGGAGATGCCAGAGAGGAACGTGTTGACTTGGACAGTGATGATATCTGGTTTGGCGCAAAATGGTTTTGGAGAAGAAGGTTTGAAGCTGTTCAACCAGATGAAGTCAGAGGGACTAGAACCTTGTGATTATGCTTACGCTGGGGCGATTACATCTTGTGCTGTTCTTGGGTCGTTGGACAATGGACAACAAATTCATTCTCAGGTAATTCGATTGGGTCATGATGCAGGCCTCTCCGCCGGCAATGCGCTGATTACCATGTATGCGAGGTGTGGTGTTGTTGAATCTGCTGAATCCGTGTTTCTCACAATGCCTTATGTGGATTCAGTATCTTGGAATGCCATGATTGCAGCTCTTGCACAACATGGACACGGTGTCCAAGCCATTGAGCTTTTTGAACAGATGTTGAAGGAAGATATATTGCCTGATAGGATAACTTTCCTCACAATTCTTACTGCTTGCAACCATGCAGGCTTGGTCAAAGAGGCACACCATTATTTTGATACGATGTGCACTCATTACGGTATAACCCCAGGAGAGGATCATTATGCCCGTTTGATTGATTTGTTGTGTCGTGCGGGTATGTTCTCAGAAGCAAAGAGTGTAATCAAATCAATGCCTTTTGAGCCCGGTGCACCAATTTGGGAAGCTTTTCTTGCTGGTTGTCGGATTCACGGAAACATTGAGTTGGGCATTCAAGCTGCTGACCGACTCCTTGAGCTTATTCCACAGCAAGATGGAACGTACATAATCCTTTCCAATATGTATGCTGCTTTAGGCCAGTGGGACGAAGTGGCCAGGGTGAGGTTATTGATGAGGGAACGGGGAGTGAAGAAGGAACCTGGTTGTAGTTGGGTTGAGGTCGAAAACATGGTCCATGTCTTTTTGGCTGATGATGCTAGGCACCCTGAGGTACAAGCAGTGTATACATATCTGGAGCAACTGGTAGATGAAATGAGGAAATTGGGGTATGTTCCTGATACGAAGTTTGTATTACATGATATGGAATCTGAGCATAAAGAACGTGCCTTGTCTACCCACAGTGAAAAGCTGGCTGTTGTATATGGAATTATGAAGCTTCCTTTAGGAGCTACGATTCGTGTTTTCAAAAATTTGAGAATATGTGGAGACTGCCACAATGCATTCAAATTTATTTCCAAAGTAGTGGCGCGAGAGATAGTTGTGAGAGATAGGAAGAGGTTTCATCATTTTAGAAATGGAGAATGTTCGTGCGGCAACTACTGGTAGGAAGAGGTTCTGTTATTTGATTGTCTTCAAAGGTTAACGAATGTCAAAATTGATCAAGTGAATTTAGAATATATATATGTATACATATGAATGGAGCCCAGAGCTTTTACAATCTGAAATTCAAAATCGAGACTGATATTGGCCCCAAAATGTTCTCCAAGAGGTTGATCGATGGTCAGATGAAAACTTGTTTTACCCCTTCTTTTTCTCTCTGTGATTCTAATTGTTTTTGCTTTTGCTAAACTGAACGACTCATCTTTTCAGTAAATACTGTTTACAGGACACGCCAAAGCCACATTGGCAAGGATGTCCATGATCCTCAGTTTGTTTTGGCAGTCTACTGGAAATTTGTCTTCTATTGCACCCCCTTGCACACAAATGCTAGAGTTGATTATTGCTATTTCAAGTCATAAGGAATGGAGGTGGTAAGAGAAATCATTTTATTGTTTATGCTGTGGCTATATAGCAAATGTCATGTCATGTGTGCTATCATTTTTACTTCTGTTTCCCTTTATTTATTGGAACAACCAATCTTAATATTGTTGTTAATCGTAGCATTATACTGGGAGTGGAAATTGAGCTCTCAACCTCCTTATCACTCAAATTCTTAACTCCCCCATCACAACCACCAAACCAACCTTAAATCCATAGTTTCCCTTTATTTTTTCTGTTTCAGCATTTTGATTCATGTGTTTGTACTTTGTATGCATCAGGTACAGTGATTAAACACAGCAGCACCTTCTGATTGGTAGCTCTAGTGTTGCATGCCATCTCGGTTGCCATGACTTTGGCAGGGGGAAGGAGCTATGAGGTGGTGCTAATGCCGAAGCTACTCTGATTTGAAAAAGGGACAGATTACAGAATTTTGTGCCCTGTGATCGACTCTCTGTTCAGTGCTCGTCAATGTTAAGGTAAGACCAAAGCACCGCCTAAGTCACAACACTCTCTACCCAGTAAAATGTCTGAGAAGCTTTAGCAAGGCTCTCTGTAAATATGACTATGCCTCTGCTTGAACTGATGTATTTGTGTTGATCTCTTGATATAAGTGCTTGTGACACTGTTTGAGAGAGTTTACAGAATCAGTTTAAGATATCTCCATAAGTTGTTTTCAGCTTATTTTTATAAACTTTCAGGATAGCTTATGAAAACAACTTATAACATATATAAAACTGTTTTCCTTTAGTTTATACTTTGTTATAGAAATAACATATACATAAAAGTGATATGATAAACACTATATCTATAACCTCTTAATTAAGGGGCTTAGATCCTCTCCGCTATCCTTAATTAAGTTCTTTATCCAAACAAAACCTTTTTGCAAAAGGGAAAGTGAGATCAATGATTCTACATACATCCTGAAGTTTATGTAAACTTTATTTCACAAAAATCTAAAGGGGAATTTGTTGCTGCCTGCTGATTTTACAAGGAAGCTTACTAGTACTTCAGATGAGCTTTTTCTATCCAACATATGGACTCTAGTATGAAGTGGAGATTCTAACTGAACTAACTGAGGGTGCACAACAAACAAGAAAAGAAGCATTCTTATGGAGTACTTTTATTGTTATTGTCTTCCCAAAGTTGAAGGCCAGTCAATCAAAAATAGCAGTGAGAATCATCTTGATTGCACACATATACTTCTTTTCAGGAGTGCTAGACAATGGTGCTAAAGTAACGGCCTTTACTGCTTCTTCTTCTCGGCTCTGCTGTTTTTTGGGCTTTTTCAAGGATCTGATATAAATTTATTAAATTTTCATATTTATACTATTATACTATTATACATAAAGTTAAAATCATAGATATATTTATCTCGATAACGCTTGAAATTTAGGAATGGACTTTTTAGAGTGTCTCCTGGGCAGTATTAAAGCAACCCAGAAATATTATTCTGTAATAAACAAATTTGTATTTTCCTTTGCCTCATATTCAATGAATTCCTCTTCAAAAACTTTTTCCTTGGTCAATAATGAAATAGAAAAAAAATAAATAATCCACATAATCTTTAATTGGAGTATGAACAATTGTTTTAATGCATAATTTTTTTTCAAATTGATAGCAATGAAATAAATTTACTGAGGAATTTGATACAGTGCTACTTTTGTGTCAATATATATTTAGGCCACAGAAGCATCACATTCACATGATAATGATAGTATCAAATAAAGCATCTTTTTGCTCAAACCAAGACATGTTGTAAATGCCTCTCCGCTTCTTGGAATCACTGAGCACTTGGGACTGGAAAAGGTCAGATGCTGACACTAATTTTCTGTTAAAAATTGGACCACTCCAATGAACTTTCAGTTCTTGAGAGTACATAGATCTATATTTTGATATTTAAAATTACAAAAGTTAAGTAGTTTAGTCCTTAAAGCTTGAAGCTAATTTATGTGGTGCATAAGCCTGCTTAAGCTTAATCGTCATATTAGGAAAAGTTGGTTAGCATTAAAAAATTTGTTAATCAATCAAAATCAATAAAGAATTGGAAAGTATATATGGCATTGTTTCACTCTCCTTGATTTGGTGCGAGACAAAAAACAGAAAACAGGCCAAAACATTTTCCAAGAGAACGTGAGAGGAAAGTAAAGCCTCAAGAAGTCACATGCTAGTAATGCAAAACGATTCCTTTTTTAGGTTAATGTCATAAAGTAGACCCCAAAATACTGTGCCTACTTTTCCTTCTCTCCTCAATATTGAGTCTTGACTTGTGAAATTATGTGGTATATGTCATTTTCAATACTAAACACATAAAGCAAAACAATTGAGTGCATCTCTCAATTTTCCATAAGTTTGACAAAAACTTACAATGTACACCATAACTATAAGCACAGACACACCAACATAAAAATTTGAAGAAACAAACTAATCAAATGTAATTTACATAGGTCAGTATCGAGCCGAACACTGACATGAGCTGACACTAACACGTGTAAGACACCGAATACACTTTGTCATAAGCGCTGAGTTGGAGGGGGTAAAGGAAAAGGGAAAGAGTGAAAGAAGTGCTACTTGAACCTTTTTAAAAAGTTAATGTTATCAAATAAAATGAAGAGTCAAAAGTATATGGAGATGAGGAAAAAGAGAATCATTCACATGGCTAAAGAGTAAGGCACAAAATTTTCATCCAAAACATTCATTCTTATGGGTATATCCTTTTTCCCTTGTAATAATACCAAAAAAATCTCACTTTCATGAGCTAATTACACCGTTTTTTTCACAACAAAATCTTCTTACACCTAACTACAAGAATTATTAGTCTTGTCCCCACATTCAACAGTCCTAGATGCTTTCTCTATCTCTCAAGTCTATTTACCACAAATCTCTTTCATCCAAAAGATATATATCAATCACCTCAAGAACAATTTTGTCTCCATAGTAAACCATCATCTTCTTCTACTGTCAATAATCTGTACAAACAAAATAACATTGCAAAATGTAGCATAAGCATAACTTTAACTAAAGTACTATAAACTAAGTAAAAAAAATTGATTCCAAAGTACATAACCATGTACAAAACAACACCTACCATCACGTTTCTTGACCAAATTCCTAGCAAATAGCAAGCATATTACCAAAAACGCCACACCAGCTATACCTCCTAATATTATAGCCACAGTCTTCCCTGTATTTTGTCCTGTCATTGCATCATTTAGCCACAAATCACTCAATAATTCATGTTTCATAGTATTTAACAAAGTAGCATCAATGCTTTCAAGTCTCAACACATGAACAATTATGCAATTCTATATAGCATGTACATTCCAGATTGAAGGCGTATCCGGTGTCCAGACATCTACTCGACACCAACACATGTGATTCGAATCAATTATTCAACTTTTACAAATTGATAAGGTGTCACATTTTATTGTCTGTGTCATGTCACATGTCTGGTCTAATCTTCATAGATAAGGTGTTACATTTTATTGTCTGTGTCATGTCACATGTCTGGTCTAATCTTCATAGACGTCAAATGAAGAAATACAATAACAGATTCAACATAACAACAGAATAAAATGAAAACTTTGTACTGACCCAGAATTCAAATCGATCTTATCTACTAACTCTAAGTGATTGGATATTAGTCTTACCAGTAAAAGATGAAGAACCAGAAGAAGAAGAAGATGAACCACCATATGAAGAGTGCCTTGGAACCCCATTGGGATAATAGCTAAAACTAATGAAGCACTTATGCAAATAAACTTGTCCAGAAATAGAACTTCCACATTCAACTTGAGCTCTTTGAACAGCAGATTTAACACATTCACCACAATCAGAATCACCAACATCACCTTCACACTGTCCCATAACATACATAGATTGATAGCTAGTAGCATAAAAACCATGACCACTAATAACCCCATTTTCCATCACAGAGAAAGCAGTGTCTCTTCTCTCTTCAAACCCTCTTCCAGCAGCATTCGTTGTTCCGCATGTTTTGAAAAGAATATCCATCCCTGAGATTTGAGGAAAACCAGCAACCTCGTACAGCATGTAACAACCTAGAAGCTGAACTCTAGCAGCTATGGTTTTGCCACAGAGTTTGTCTGAGAGAACCGGGAGTTTGCTAACACAGTTGTAGCAATCGGAGTTTGTGAGATCTCCTCTACATTGGAAGATACCTGTGATGCTGTTTTGGCCATTACCGGTTGTGGTTTTGAAGAACTTTGTTTTTGTGGACTGTGAAACGAGGGAACCAAAGAGTGCTGAAAGAGATTGTGAGTATGCACCATTTGGATCTGTGAAAGTGTTTTTTGAGCAACCCTTGTAGACCAAAGTTGAGTAATCTGAAGAGGATGATGATTCAGAGAAATGGGGTGTGAGGAGGAGGAGGAAGAGAAGAAGGAAAAGGGACAATTTTGGAAAACCCATTTTTTGGTTTTTGAGAATGGAGAGAGAATCAAATCATGGTTTGGAAAAATGGTTTTGAAGGTTGGAACTTTTTTGTGTGTTGATGTGAGATTGAGAGAGGGGGACAGGTTAAGGAAAAGAATCAATGGTTTTGTTTGGGTTCATGGTTGGATTTTTGTTTTTTCATGAGTGAGTTGTAGAGAAAAGGATTTGGGACTCTATGTGGTTTTAGAGTGCCTTGGGATTCATTTACTATGGATGAAATGCAAAGAGAGGTTAATGTGAATGTGATGATGCCTCTATACTATACTAGTATAGTCTTGCAACATTATAGTATTATTATAAAAGTCACTTCCACTTCCACTCATACTCATATTCTTTTTTTCAATATTTTATATTTCATTTGTTTCACGATAAATGTTATTTCTATGAAAAATAATTTATGTGTAAAAACAGAAAAAACTGATGTGGTAGTTCTGATAAATTGATGTTGTAATAAGAAGTGAAATATAAATAACACAAGGGTTCAATTTTTTAAAATTTTAGAATATATCTATTATTATAAGAAAATTTTATATTTTGAAAATTCCACTTTCGCCCTTCTGCTTCTCTATGCGCCACGTGAATGGTTTTATAACTCTTCTTTCAATTTACTTCTATTTTACATATTATGTTTGTTTCCGGTTGATTTCCTTTCTCCCATCATTTTCATCATTTAATGTTTCTGCAAGATAATATATTTTTTTCATAATCTTTATTCAAATTCTTTTAAATCAACATTGTTGCTTCTGCCGCATATTACAATTTCTATATATTGCTTTATGTTTATTCAATTATACAAAAATATCCTTCTTGTAAGAAGAACAAAACTTCCTTATTGCAACTTAGAACATCTTTCGTCTCTTTTACTTCGATGATTTTATGGCAGTGAGCGGTTTGACAGTGGTAGAAATGTGGTAGTGAAAACATGTTTCCGTCAACGAGCGCGTTGGTGGTTGGACACAAAATAGTTTATGTTTGACTTTTTCAGTTTAGGTTTTGTTATTAACTTATTCTCTCTTATTTGATTTGTTTAGGTTTTTAAGTGACCTTCAATGGTGAAGGTGAACGTGAAGATTTATTTGATAACAAGTTGAAGAATATGAGAGTACTAGAAAGGTCTTTTAATCCATTTTTTTTTGTTTTTTTAACAATAATGTGTTTCACCTGTTCGATGAAAGTCCAGTTAAACAATATGATTAGTATATGTTTTTCATTTTAATGGATTCTACAAATATTTGACATTTGAAGCTTCTTTACTCATACTTGACTTTATTTCTTCTCTTGGTATGAAAAGGTGTATTTTGCTTATGAAGATGGACGCTATGCGAAAGATAAGGGTGTTGGGAGGAAGATAATGAACTGGGTGCATGAGACATATGTTTCTGACATGAATGTTAAGGAATTTGTATATGACAAAGAGAAAAGTCAAGTATTGACTCTCTTTCTCAAAACAAGCTTGAGTTTGAGATTGTTTTAGAGGAGGCTAGATCTAACAGGTAGAATTTAGTATCGTAGAGTTGTTGTGTTGGCTCTTGAAAATTTTATGTTATGGAAATTCCACTTTCGCCCTTCTGCTTCTCTATGCTGCCATGTGGATGGCTTTATAAAACTCCTTTCAATTTACTTCTATTTTACATATTATGTTTGTTTTCCGCGACTGATACTAGTGAGAGAAGAGCTTTTTTATTATTTCCTTTCTCCCATCATTTTCATCATTTAATGCTTCTGCAAGATAATATATATTTTTTAAAATCAACATCGTTGCTTCTGCTACATATTACAATTTCTATATATTACTTTATGTTTATTTAATTCTACAAAAATATCCTTCTTGCAAGAAGAACAAAACTTCCTTATTGTAACTTAGAACATCTTTCGTCTCTTCTACTTCGACGATTTTATGACAGTGAGCGGTTTGACAGTGGTAGATATGTGGTAGCAAAAACATGTTTCCATCGACGAGCGTGTTGGTGGTTGGGTACAAAATAGTTTATGTTTGACTTTTTCAGTTTAGGTTTTGTTATTAACTTATTCTCTCTTATTTGATCTGTTTAGGTTTTTAAATGACCTTCAATGGTGAAGGTGAACATGAAGATTTATTTGATAACAAATTGAAGAACATGATAGTACTAGAAAGGTCTTTTAGTTCATTTTTTTTTGTTTTTTTAACAATAATGCATTTCACATGTTCGATGAAAGTCCAGTTAAATAATATGATTAGTATATGTTTTTCATTTTAATGGATTCTACAGATATTTGACATTTGAAGCTTATGTACTCATATTTGACTTTATTTTTTCTCTTGGTATGAAAAAGGTGTCTTTTTCTTATGAAGATGGACGATATACGAAAGATAAGGGTGTTAGGAGGAAGATAATGAACCGGGTGCATGATACATATGTTTCTGACATGAATGTCAAGGAATTTGCATATGACGGAGAGAAAAGTCAAGTATCGACTCTCTTCCTCAAAACAAGCTTGAGTTTGAGATTGTTTTAGATGAGGCTAGATCTAACAGGTAGAATTTAGTATCGTAGAGTTGTTGTGTTGGCTCTTGAAAATTTTATGTTCTGGAAATTCCACTTTCTCCCTTCTGCCTCTCTATACTGCCACGTGGATGGCTTTATAATACTCCTTTCAATTTACTTCTATTTTATATATTATGTTTGTTTCCCGCGGTTGATTTCCTTTCTCCCATCATTTTCATCATTTAATGCTTCTAGAAGATAATTTTTTTTTCATAATCTTTATTCAAATTTATTTAAATCAACATCGTTGCTTCTGCTGCATATTACAATTTCTATTTATTGCTTTATGTTTATTCAATTCTACAAAAATATCCTTCTTGCAAGAAGAATAAAACTTCTTTATTGCAACTTAGAATATCTTTTGTCTCTTCTACTTCGATGATTTTACGACAGTCGGTTTGACAGTGGTAGATATGTGGTAGCGAAAACATGTTTCTGTCGACGAGCGCGTTGGTGGTTAGGTACAAAATAGTTTATGTTTGACTTTTTTCAGTTTAGTTTTGTTATTAACTTATTCTCTCTTATTTGATCTGTTTAGGTTTTTAAATGACCTTCAATGGTGAAGGTGAACGTGAAGATTTATTTCATAACAAGTTGAAGAATATGAGAGTACTAGAAAGGTCTTTTAGTCCTTTTTTTTTGTTTTTTTTAACAATAATGCATTTCACCTGTTCGATGAAAGTCCAGTTAAACAATATGATTAGTATATGTTTTTCATTTTAATGGATTCTACAAATATTTGACATCTGAAGCTTCTTTACTCATACTTGACTTTATTTCTTCTCTTGGTATGAAAAAGGTGTCTTTTGCTTATGAAGATGGACGCTATGTGAAAGATAAGGGTGTTGGGAGGAAGATAATGAACCGGGTGCATGAGACATATGTTTGTGACATCAATGTCAAGGAATTTGCATATGACGGAGAGAAAAGTCAAGTATCGGCTCTCTTTCTCAAAACAAGCTTGAGTTTGAGATTGTTTTAGAGGAGGCTAGATCTAACAGGTAGAATTTAGTATCGTAGAATTGTTGTGTTGGCTCTTGAAAAATTTATGTTCTGGAAATTCCACTTTCACCCTTCTGCTTCTCTATGCTGCCACGTGGATGGCTTTATAACACTCATTTCAATTTACTTCTATCTTACATATTATGTTTGTTTTCTGCGGCTGATACTAGTGAGAGAAGAGTTTTTTTTTATTATTTCCTTTCTCCCATCATTTAATGCTTCTGCAAGATAATATATTTTTTTCATAATCTTTATTCAAATTCTTTTAAATCAACATTGTTGCTTCTGGTGCATATTACAATTTCTATGTATTGCTTTATGTTTATTCAATTCTACAAAAATATACTTCTTGCAAGAAGAACAAAACTTCCTTATTGCAACTTAGAACATCTTTCGTTTCTTCTACTTCGACGATTTTAAGGCAGTGAGCGATTTGACAGTGGTAGAGATGTGGTAGCGAAAACATGTTTCCGTCGACGAGCGCGTTGGTGGTTGGGTACAAAATACTTTATGTTTGACTTTTTCAGTTTAGGTTTTGTTATTAACTTATTCTCTCTTATTTGATCTGTTTAGGTTTTTGAATGACCTTCAATGGTGAAGGTAAACGTGAAGATTTATTTGATAACAAATTGAAGAATATGAGAGTACTAGAAAGGACTTTTAGTCCATTTTTTTGTTTTTTTAGCAATGATGTATTTCACCTGTTCGATGAAAGTCCAATTAAACAATATGATTAATATATATATTTTATTTTAATGGATTCTACAAATATTTGACATCTGAAGCTTCTTTACTCATACTTGACTTTATTTCTTCTCTTGATATGAAAAATGTGTCTTTTGCTTTTGAAGATGGATACTATGCGAAAGATAAGGGTGTTGGGAGGAAGATAATGTACCGGGTGCATGAGACATATGTTTCTGACATGAATGTCAAGGAATTTGCATATGACGGGGAGAAAAGTCAAGTATCGGCTCTCTTCCTCAAAACAGGCTTGAGTTTGAGATTGTTTTAGAGGAGGCTAGATCTAACATGTAGAATTTAGTATCGTAGAGTTGTTGTGTTGGCTCTTGAAATATATTTTCATGTATTATTATTTTGATGCATGTAGCTTTGCCAAAGCATTTCGTTTTCGATAGTTTATTTTGGTTAATGGATTATCTTAATAAACTCAGTTGCAAATGATAATGTGATATCTTTTTCGATAGTTTTGAAATTGGATTTTTCACTATCTTTTATTTAATATTGATCTAAATAATTTTATATATAAAAAATGATATTTATAATCCAATTTTTTTATTCAAAAATAGTATATGGGAAAAAAAATTATTATTGATCTAAATAATTTTATATACGAAAATTTACTATTGTTCCAAATATTTCTGTAAACAATACCTAAACAAAAATAATATTTGTATACTGAAAAAATTTATTATTTATGTAAATATT